CCCTCACTGTGTCTATGGCAAGGCCTTTAGATTCTATGCAGGGCAGGTTTTTACTTCTCATTTCTTCTACTTCTTCCTTACCTTTACCTCCTATCTTTATTGTTCACACTACCCAGAAGATCGATCCAATGTTTTCCAATTTAAGACTCTCAAAGTCTAACTTCTACCTTCAATTCTCTGTCCCTGCTTTCACGGGCCTGGAAGCAGGTGCCACTGAAGAATCAGGCCCGAGTCTGTCAAATGGGTAAAGAAGGAAACAAAAGGTATCCTGCCACTCAGGAGTTTTCAGACTGTGGGAGGAAAAGACCTATCAGATAATGTTGAAATAATGTGACAAGTGAGATAACAGGCATTCGCCAGGGTATGTATAAGAATTTATAAGAGAAATGTCAGCTAATGCTCAGAGACTTATTTGAAATCCCCCCCCAAAAAAGAAACACCTTAAAATGATTTTTAAGATTTACTGGAGGCCTCAAGAACACCAACTAACCACAGCTACCTGCAGTAAACCATAAATAGTCATAACTGGGTATAACTAAACTGTTTCTTGATTCTTAATATGTTGCTTCAATAAGATCCTGTCCCCTCACAGTTATTCATATTATTCCTTAAGAAATATCACTACTAATATGTTATACTATTTGACAATTTATGTAATACCTTGACATCAGTTATTTCACTTGCTTCTCACTGGAGTTCTGAGAGAAAACCAGACAGAGGCTACACATAACTAACAAGTGTAAATTCAGAATCTGAACCTAATTCCTCTGACATCATTCCACCTCTGTCCTCCTCTGCAACTCTCATTTACGAAAAGGAAAGGGCACAAATAAGAACCAGCCAAGGGCTGATGGGAGAATCAGAAACTGCAGTCCAAACTACAGGCTCCTGGGAAGAACTTGCAAGAAATACATGCTCACAGCAAAAGCAGAGCCAAAATGTAGGTCAATGGGCACTCAATGTAATCATCCCGCAGGAAGGAAATTAATCATTTCTATCCAAAAGGAGGCTGCATATGTGGTCTTTATTCTCAGCTGCATTCCCTGGAGAACAAGATGCTCTTGGTATAAATGGAACCTAGGATGGTGGACTTCGGAAAAAAAATGTGACCTTATGAAGAAGAAAGAAAGAAGGAAGAACTGAAGGAAGGAAGGGATGAAGAAAGGAAAGAAGGGAGGGAGGGAAAACGAGAAGATAACACTTTCTTGTACAAGCATTTGACAGAATAAATATTTGTTTTCTACACAGACTTCTGTATGCTTGCCTGTAATTTTAATGGGCACAGGTTTGGGAGTGGAAAGAACAATTAGGAAACCAATGCAACAGCCCAAATGAGAAACACTGAGGCCCCAGCTAGGGGTGAGTAGAGCTGCTCATCTAACAATCTGGTGACCAGCTGACCAAGTGACAGCCTGGATGTGGCAGTGTCTCCAGGTGATTTGTGAATTATGGATCCCAGTGGAGCTCCACGCTGTGGCCTGTTTCCCCTCCTTCTCTCGCTTTCTCTGTCCCACCCTCTGAGTTTGCACCTAATCATGTTGAGGCCTCACCAGCAGCTCCACCCCCTGCTTTCTGCTGTACATATTCAGTTCATGATGAATGCCACCACTTTATAAGCATCTATTATGGAGCAGATGTGGCATGAGACTTAAATGCTTTATATACATTATCATAAGAATCCCTCATCACAACTCCTTAAAATAGTGTTGCTGCCCCCACTTCCCAATAACCATGAAGACACGAAGGCTCACACCACTCGGCTGACCCAGGGCTTGACTCTACATTTGTTTGACTCCAAAACCTTCAATCAACCAAGTCATCATTCCTTGCCCATTTGCAAATTACAAAAAAAGAACCAGAAAATATAAGGAGTTCAGGTCAACAAGGACAAACACAAGAATCAATGAGAAAAATGTAATTTAAGGTATGAACAAGTTTGGGTTGCAGATATCTAGTAAGCACATGTTTTGTTTGATTTTTTAAAAATTCATTTATTAGAGAGAGAGGAATTGAGAGGGAGAGAGAGAAAGAGAAACATGAATGTGGGAGAAAAACATCAATCGGCTGCCTCCTGCATGCCCCCCCCGCCACTGGGATCCAGCCAAAAACCCGGGCATGTGCCCAGACTGGGTATTGAACCCGCAACCCTTTAGTGCATGGGATGATGCCCAACCAAGGGATACACACATGTTCTTGCTGAGACAATGGGAACATAAATGACTATGAGCAGATGGCATTATTTATACACGTTTTGTTTTTTTTGAAAAAAAAATGTAGAGTTGTCATCTAGAGAATGTGAGAGGCATAGAACAGTGGAGAACTGAAGGTGAAATCTCTGTGGCAAGGGGGTTATGACACACACAGAGGCACCAAAATGACACAAAGTGAAACACAGGCTGGGGTAGTGAGGTGAGGGGTTCACTGGCTTGGGCTCATTGAGAGAAATAAAGGAGGAGGGCCTCTACTGTCTTATAGGGTGGAGTGTCTAAAAGGCACATCTTAGAATTATATTCAGTACTGGAAAGCAAAAAACAGAAAGCCCTTTTTAGACCAGGGAACAAGGTGTCTAATTTGAGCTCATAATTCTGTGCTGCACTTTATAAAATTTACTCTCTTCGTCCTAGCCCTCTTCGGTTTATCTCGCCTCTGGGTCTGTTTTCCCTCCATCTGTCTTTGACACTCTTAGGTTTCCCCTAATATATTTAGTTGACTTTTTCCAGTAAAGAATTAAGTGTTTGCCAAGATTCCCCTAGAACATGCCAGTTTCTGCCTCTCTCGTTCTTTCTTTCCCATTCTTGCTCTCCCTCTCTGCGTTTCTTCTTACGTATTTCCTCTGAGTTTTTTCTCCTTCCCTACCCATTTTCCTTTCCTATGATTAGCGATTCTCCTTTTTCTTTTCCCGCTTTTTTCCAATCCTTTAAGATTTTTTCTTCCTCTTAGCCTTTGCTGGAAGACCAGAAGCAGAATCTTGTTCTTTTCAATCTGATTTTGTAGAACAATCAGAATGTAAATAATGTTGGCTAGAAGTATTCCTGGACAAAGGAAAATTCACCTTAGGGACTCCACAGGCTAGGAACTTTCTCATGTGCTCCCATAGTGACTAAAGTTGTGGTTCTCAAACTTGAGCAATCTCCAGGATCCCCTGGGGGCCTTGCTGAAACACAGAGTCCTGGGTCCCGCCCCAGAGCCTGCGATGCAGCAGGTCTAGGACGGGGCCTGGGGGGTGTGCATTTCTGACAGGTTCCATGGTGGTGCCCATTGCACTGGTCCAGAGACCACACTTGGAGAACCACTCAAGTGAGAGGACCAACAGCAGTTGGGTGGTCAAGGCTCCGCTGAGCAAGGTAACATTCCTTGTCCCAGCAACCACAGGACTTGGAGAAGCCTAGGGAGCTCTGGAATAGGGATCCAGAGGATGTGCTGGGGTACAGCGAGGAGGGGAGGAGAAACATGGAAGCTCCGTGTTTAACCTTCTGGGAAACACTGAGGCCAGCTCCAAGGCCTGCCAGCCACCCGCCCTCTTGTGATCACACAATGAAGCAGCAGAAGGGAATTCTTAGATCCTTTGATCTCTTCCCAGTCTTAAGTCCTCTGTCTGTTTATCTCCCTGTTCTCTGGCCTCCTCTTCCCTATCCTTACCCCCTGCCCAGTGTATGAATCACTCCTCTCCTCCCCACCCCACTGTCATCTGTTTTTCTAATGATGGCAGAAGATGAGCTGTTTTGTTGGCTGCGCCATCACGAAGTGCACTCCATGCTCGACTTTTTCCCGATGCCCTCTCAGAACGCTATTTTATTGGTATCCTTTCCCTTTGTCTCAAACCCCACCCTTTCCCCTTCCTTGGCCTCATGTAGACTCCCGTTTCCCAGAAATGGATCAATATAAACAGAGATAAAGAAGAATGGGGGAGGAGGGGAACTAACAAACATGTGGGTTGCAGGGGGGGGGGGGGCCTTGGAAATCAATGGCCGTTAAACAGCTCTCTCTAGCACACAGCAGCCAGAATGACCCAAGTATTGCTGCTAAGTGGCTTAATTAGTTCCAGTGAGAGATTGGGAGGTCAAAACCTGGTGTGACTGAGACTAGAGGATTTGTATTTGTCACTGGCTATTCCCAGGGTGAGAAAGCTTAAATGGTGTTTGCATGTGCTTTCTGGGTCATCCCCCATCAGCGCTACCTCACTCATGACTCTTCCTTGCCTTCACTCCTGTCAATCTGGATAAGGAATTCACAGCGCCCTAGGTGCCCCAAGGTAGGGAATCCCCCATGTGAGGAAGTAGACAGGAATCCTCAAGGTGGTAAAGGTCTAATTTGGCATACTCCACAGCAAATTGCAGGTCTGCCTCAGAGGTGGGGAACATAGATGCTTGCCTGACCCCTGCAGTGGGTGAAAATAAGGTAGGAAGCCACAGGCAGAGGGGAGGAGCATGGTGACCTGAAGAACAGCTGCCCTTCTGGGGTTGTAGCTGCTACGCAGATTCAGCTAATTGTTGCCAGATAGTCTTGTTTTTTAAGAGAAAAATCTTTGCACAAAGTGTTTTATATTTATTTTTACTTGGAGTATGTGTGCCTGTGTGTGTGAAATGTTTTATATACACATATGAATTTTATGTGAAAAATCCCAATTTTTAAAATATTAGCAATCAAAACAAGATTGTTTTCAGACACTGTGTTGGCCAAATAAACCTGTCTGTGGGCCATCGGTCTGCAAAACCCTGATCTAATTAAGCTCAAACAGGCCCTGTTAGAGAATCCCAAAACCATAAATAATTCTGATTTGCTTTTAACTTACTTTTATTGAGTCATTTCAAATGAAACCCTGGAATTTTGCTTAAATAAAAGCCAAAATCAGAAATCCTAATATCTGAAGTTGTGGGATTATGGAAATTAAACAAAAAGCACAGAAGTGGAGAAAGGGAGGACCTTGCATTAGAAAGGCTCAAGGCCTGGAGTTAAGCAGAGAAGTGTGGTCCAGGTTGGGGGAGGGGGTGGTGACTTACCTCACAGGACTGGATGCAGTGGATCAGGACGGGGTCTGGGTGCCATTGACGCCGCCCAGTGCACACGATGCTCTGAAGGAGAAGACAGAAAGTATAAACACCAAGACACCTGGTCAGTGAGAGAAGGGGCATGTCCTGCGCTTACCCCACCAGCCCAACCCCATTTCCTGAGGAGTGAGACACCGACTTGGACCCACCAAGCAGGTCAAGGCTGACAGGACTTTGCCATGGAGCTGCTAGTCCTGCTGATGGTGCCACGGCACAAACTCTCAGTGGAAGGGACTTTTCATCCTCTTCCTCCTCCTTCTCCCTCCCCAAGGCATCGAATTTTACAGAGCAGTGGTATAGGTGTGGTTTAAAAAAGCATCATCAATATTATCTATATACATAAAAGCCTAAACGACCGGCCAGTAGCTATGATGTCCACTGACCACCAGCAAGCACTCAACGCAGGAGCTCCTGAGCTGCGGTCACTTGGCACCTGGAACCGGAGAGGAGGGAGCCCGATTCTGGGGTGCGTCACCCGAGAACTGTCATCTTGCAATCCGGGATCCCTTGGGGGATGTCAGAGAGCCGGTTTTGGCCCGATCCCCGCAGGCCAGGCCAAGGGACCCCACTGGTGCACGAATCTGTGCACTGGGCCTCTAGTAATGAGTATAAAGTGGTCTTAGGCATAATATTGGTTTCATTTGTTTTGCCATTTTAAATAATGTTACAAGAAATGGCGAGATGGCTGTGATCAGGAAGCAGTGTGGGTTTTTAAAGGCTGAGAAATACAGCCTCACAAGAAGAGTCCTGAACCAGAAAGGGATCTCAGAAATGCCAGATCCTAAGATGTGAGCACCAGGCAAGCCTTGGAGGCCAAGTGCACTCTGCAGCTCTGTGAGCACCACTTTCTCTTCCTTGTAGGGAAAAAGAGGGTCTGTGCCCTGACCAAATAGGGTTAATGTGAAACCACTGGGACTCAAAAGGGCACCGACGTTAAGCTGGTGAGTGTGAAAAGACACTCAGGTTAGGACACAAGCTACTTTCTCATTCCCAACGGCCACTTCCAGATGCACATTTAAACAAATAGTCATCTACTCTTCATTAAATGACAACTCATTTTCATTGAGCTTCTTCCTTTTAATTTTTGTATTTTAAAATTTCCAAAGACCCACTTCAGGAAAAGAGGAGGTCCCATAGGAAGTTTTCAGGGAGACAAAGGGATTCTCTCAATAGCCTGCAACCCACCCACCCATGTGCAGACTTTCATACTCACATTTTTATTTGGTACAATAGGAATTCAGTTCAATGGTAAGAAAAATAACACATGGGGAGATACGGGCTTTACACAAGATAGCACCTCTATTAATTGGAAATTATAGACCCTACAATGCTAAGACTACAGTAATCAGATTGGAGACAATTGCATACATTAATATGGGTGTATATGAATATATACCTCATGGTCAGCTATGAGAATAGGAATCTGCAATATTCTCCTGGAGTTACATGACTGTAAACTAAAACTCCTCCTTCACAGCTTCCCTAAAGGGAAATAAACACTAAGAATCCTAACAAATTTTGATATTCAAAATTCCATATCGTACTATTGTAGAAGGTGCTTTGGCATAAGTTATCATTGTACTTTAATAAGGGGATTATTAAATCTATTCAGGACTACAGATCTATAAGGTAACCACAACAGGGTGTTCAGCCTCCTGAGAAAGTAAGCTGTTCTCCTGCACTTAAAGCCATTTAAGCAGACTATTTACTTATAAGCTCTGCTACCTGGAAATGATTCTCATTTATGTTCTGAAGCAGGCACCAGTGGAACTCTATCACCAGGTAATGGTAATAAAAATGTACAATAACTAGTACCCTTGAAATGTGAATGCAGGCCACTGGATTCCTTCTCTTAGCACTGTATCCACTAAGGACCCTCATTCCCACCCTAATCAGTCAGCATTCAGTTCAGATCACAGGTATGCATCTCAGTAGGAGCCAGGGATGCTCTCAGAGTGCTCAATGTCTGGTGGGGAGGATGTGGAAGAATGTCAAACCCTCCAATAAAGGAATACTTGGCCTTGAAACTATCTCATGATGACCATTGCCAGACGCTCCAGAACATGCTGAACTTTGTGTGTCAGCTTCTCTTCTACCCTCTAAACATTCTACCCGGTCCATCCCTTTTACAAATGTAGGAGTGTTGGGTTTATTTAAAACTTTAAAAATTCTCAAAATATATTACAAAGGAAAAACAAAAGAGAGGAAAAGAGTCTGTCTTTTCTTTCTATTCTTTCTCTCCAAGGCTCTTTTCTGCTATTATTTCCAATTTATTTTTTATATTTTTATATTATGTAACTTTATTTCATGATCATGTAATATTTGTAAAATATAAAAGGCATAAAAGGGTACAAAACCTCTACCCTGCTCCTGGTCCTACAACCCATTTTCCTCCCTTCTACTTTTAGTTGTCTTCTGTATCATTATAGAGATAGTCTATGCATATACATACATCCTATATAATAAAAGGGTAATATGCAAATTGACCCTAATGGCAGAACAACCAGAACGACAGGTCACTATGACACGCACTGACCACCAGGGGCAGACGCTCAACTCAGGAGCTGCCCTCTGGTGGTCAGTGTGCTTCCACAAAAGGAGTGCCACTCAGCCAGAAGCCGGCTCATGGCTGGCAAGCGCAGTGATGGTGGCGGGAGTCTCTCCTGCCTCTGCGGCAGCGCTAAGGATGTCTGACTAACAGTGGGGAGCGGGCCTAAGCCATTAGTTGGACATTCCCCAAGGGCTCATGGGCTGCCAGAGGGATGTCTGACTGCCAGCTTAGGCCCGATCCCCTGGGGAGCTCCCAGACATACCCTGAGGGCTCCCGGACTGCGAGAGGGCGCAGGCCAGGATGAGCCCCCCCTCCCAAGTGCACTAATTTTCGTGCACTGGGCATCTAGTATATGTATAAAATCCTTTCTTTCCTCACACAAATAATAGAATACTGCAATTTTCTTCTGTGCTTTGGTCTATTGTTGTTTGCTTGCCTAACTTTATTTCACTTCACAATGTTTCCTGGGTGTTCTGTGCATTTTATAGTACCTGGTCTGCTGTGTCCTATTGACAGCACAGTGTTCCACTGCAGGGACGGACCCTAATTACTAAACTAGATCTATATTGATGGGTATTTTGTTCTAACAGACAAAGTCTTTTGTTATAAAAGACAAAGCTTATGTATAAATCATTTCACACGTGTACAGATACATCATCCATAGAATAAATTCATGGCTGTGGAATTAACAATACCCATGTCCTTTTTTAAATGATCTATAATTCAGTCTTGAGACTAATTCAGACTGGCAGCCTTCCTTCATTTCTATAAACATGCGTAAGTTTCTGGTCCCTGTGTCTATGCCTTCCTAGATTTCAAAGTCCTTGAGAACAAAAACTATCTCCCACTCATATTTCTTATCTCAGTGACACAAAGAGAAACGATGTTTTACGAGTAACTGTCAACCACTAAATATGATGTTGTATTGCTAGGATTCTCCCTTGTCTTCTGGCCTATGAATGTCACTCATCCTGTAAGTAAAGATATGCATATACCATTAATTGAACTAGTTATTGATCAAAATTGGAGGAAAATTTCAAATGCTTTTCAGGACCTACATTTTATGGGTACTTTGTGGTGGTGAGGTGAAAGAGGGGAGTGAAATAGGAAGTAGTAAGAAAGGGGCATAGAAGGTCCTGGTGAGTGTGTTAAATTCATGAAACAAGGGGACTCTTCTGCCATGGCAGCTTACATAGCAAGCCAACCAAAATCTAAGCCTGTGAATTCCTCAAGGTCATTCAATTGAAACATAAGGACAGCCAATCATACAACAAGGCTTTAAGCTACAGCCAATCAATCAATAACTTCCTTGCTTTGCTTCTGCCTTTTCTCTGTAATAAAGTATTTCCCTGGCAGGGTGCTTCTAGCTACTCCATTGGAATTGATTTTTGCTCAAGTAAGCTCAAAATCTTAAATGCTTCGGTTTATTTTTTAACAGCTCAATATGACTTTCTTATTTTCTGGAACATTTTTGGCAAATTATAATCATATATGATTACATTTGAATGGCTATAGAAAATAATTGAGAGAATAACTTTATATCCTCTGTGCAACTTATCAAACCTTAACATTTTGCTATATCTGCTTCCACAGTATAATAAATCACTAAAGATTTAATTAATGCCCCCTATATGTGTGCCTCCATTATCATTCTCCTTCCTTACTCCTTATTGGGTAAAACTATTTTGAATTTTTTAATTATTATTGCTATATGTTTGTATGTAGTTACAATGATTGCTATGATACTATTGGCAAGTCCCTGCTCAGATGAATTTATTGTGCAAGAAGAAGAGCCAAGAATTTGTTTTGAACTTTCAAATAGAAAGAGGTTCAGAGAAAATCAATTTAAATATTTGAGCCATTAAAGTTGGTTGGGCCATTTAAAAATTTTTTTTAAAGTAAGAAAAAAAGGAAGAAAAGAAGGAAGAATAGTAAAAGGGAGGAAGGAAGAAGAGAAAAAGAGAGAGAGAGAACCATTTAAGGGCTATTGGGATGGTCTAAAGCTGTATGAAGGCCGTTGCCTAGTTAAATGCCTAAAGGTCACAAGACTGATGGTTAGCCAACATTAAGATCTAACAAAAAAATTACTCAATTGTGTTTTTTTATTCCACTGTTGTTTGGCTCATCACATCAGACCACAGAGTTCTGCTGCTGCCCATGTTTATGGCAATTTCCTTATTTCTACAGATGTAGCAACCTAAATGTAGCATTATTCTGCATATTTATTTGGGCCATAGTACATTACCCTGGCATCTACTTTCCAGTTCCTCTTCCTTTGCCCTCCAAGACCCTCTTGACTAGTCTTCTCTAGCAACGAGGGACTCAATGCCTAGAGACGTATTCAAAAAGAGTGAGCAATTCCATGCTTAAAACTGATGCAAAAGATGACCTTTCCAGGGCTCATGGGACTGGGCCATTTGTTTTCCCACTGATGTGGGGCAAATATGACTGGAGCTGTTAGACATAGCTGTACCCTTCAAGAGGACACTTTGGAGGGTGGTGGCCAGGATTAGGACATGAGGAGGCAGAAGGGTGGGTGACACCATTCTATTTGAAATTATGGCTCCTGGAGGAAACGATCTTTTCTTTTTCTTCCTGCTTCTCTCTTCCTCTTAAAACATTTTGTTATTTTAGTAATTATTAATCTTTTGGGGACCAATTTTGAAAAACAGAGCCAGAAATCCTAAGATTTGTTTTGACTGAGCAATTCTGTTGAAAAACTGGGGAGATTAAGAAAGGGATTTCATGCAGTGTTGAGAATTCGCAAACCTAACATGTTGCAGCCACAGGAAAATCTCATTAATTTGGACCTCACTACATTAATTTGGATTTCATAATTATAATATACTAAAAAAAAGAAAAGCATTGTCTATAAAAAATGGATTTATGAAGCAAACTACTATGGGAAATAGGATGTTATGATGGATGCTCTTGTACTTCAGAAACAAACACTTTCAAATACAATTTAGAAAAACTCATTTGCACCCAAACAATTGCCACATTATACATAGAAAGTAATCTCTCCATGAAATCAGCTTCCTAAAGGACCACTTCTTCATTGCGGAAGTCAAAACCTTAATTTCCTATCTTAAATAGAAAAGCTATGAGATATCATAAAACATTCTCTCGTCACAATGGTTCATCATAAAAATTCAACCTTGCACAGGCTTTGTGGGAAAATCAGGTTTGCCTTGAGAGATGGCTCTCTGGAGGTGGGGGCCACTCTTCTCTGAGCTCCTTCATTTTATCTGGCAACCTTGTTCTGAGCAGGGGATGAAATGAGTCATGCATTGAGGACATCTGGGAATAAGAGTAAGGCATCATTCCTACCCTCAAGAATCTTATGGTTCTGGTGTTAGAATTACAGATAAAAGGGAAGAAACAAATTAAGAGGAAAAACAAAGATGAGGAAAGTACCAAGTGCTCCCAGCAACAGTCTAAGGAACAACTCCATAGTCAGGCACCCTGGACCTCAGGCCTCTGGGTGCTGTAGGAGGGCAGTCAGCAGAGGCCCTTGTGTCTGGGTGTGAGCAATGGTACTGCCTGGACATTTGGCTGTCTCCTGCCTGTCCCAACTACCAGATTCCACTGCTCAGTCACCTTGATGGGCAGGCATTTATTGGACTGCCGAGAGCCCTTTTGTTTAGTGTCCTCTCTTTCTATCGGGATATTTCTTTGCTGGTGCCATCACCATAGAAAGGCCTAGATGTCTGTGTGTAGTAGGTGAGGGAGGAAGACGCCTTCACAACAAAGGCCCTGAAAGTCCACTTGACAATTTCAACCCTTACCTCTTGCTTCTCACAGCCTGAAACATTTAAAAAATAACAGCATGTTTCCATCCTTACTCTCTTCTGTTGGCAAGGCTAAAGATGGAAGTAAATTTTCCATCTTAATTCCCTTCCTGTATTATTTGTTCTTTATGTCTCAGAGTCTTCCTTCTATATTATCTTTGAAATGTTCCTTTGGATGTGGGCCATCTTTTTTTCTCAAGCTTTTCCTCTTTTTCCTTCTTGATTTGCAATCCTTCTCTTTAGGAAATGACCCATGTAGTTGTTCCCCTTAAGGATGCTTTGAAAGCCTCTGAAATTATTCCAGGGAATATGCTGTCTGTTGGGAACTGCTCTGTCCCCGATATGTGAAAGTGTCCCTTTGCTCACCTGGACGTTGACAGGCTCCATCCAGTGCTCCAGAGTGTCTGCAGTGATGTTCTCAGGCAGAATCACTGGGTCCCTAGGGGGCACTACACATGATGGGGTGCACACTGCACCTGACGGAACAGAAATTTACAGTACACACATGAACTTCCCAGATCTCAGTCTTTTTCATTTGGAATCAACAGTTTTGCTTTTTCCTCAGCAATTGCTCTCTATGCTGTGGGTCATCATTATCATGGGTAAGGGCAGGGCTGATATTCCTCTTCCATGCACCTGTGAAGATACTGTATACACAATTAGTGAAGGGCCTCTGCCCCCAAGTTCATGCCCTGTGCCCCAGGTGACCACTCCTCTTTCTGAACTCCTTTGGAATCTCGGAATCTCTGCATGAGCCAGCAGTTAAAAGATTAAGTCCTGGTCCAGCAGACATCCAGGACCCCACTCCGGGACTCTGGCTAGCCAAGGTCTCTCCTGACTGGTTGATGCATTTTAAGTACATTTAATATTATTTCTGCCTACAGGATCCAAAGCATCTACTACCTAAGGACTTTACTAGCTGACCCATAAATTTTGAAGGAAGATTAATAATTTCTACACTGATGATCGTTATGTTGGCAGCCTTGCAAGAAAATGATGTGATTAAAAGAAGAAACGATGGGAAAACAAAAGCAGAGATTTTGGTCACATGTTTGCCTCTTAAAGCAAAATCTTGGACTCCACTCTTTTGTAGATGGAGTCCAAGTGTCTTCCAAAATTCTATTCAAAGAAGGTACACTCCAGGGTTTTCTATTTCCTCATCTATAGATTTGATGATCTCCAAGTTTCTTTTCAGCTCTCACTATCTCTGTTTTGATGTGTTGTTGTTTTTTGCTAACTTGTATAATAACTCAAAGAGCCACATGACTCTGAAGGACTCTATATATGTGAATATATGACATATATTCGGAGAGTGGAGAAATGAGAATTTGTTCATGAAACACCACTTGAGAAGCACAGTCCAAGCTCCCCACTGCCTGACCTCAAGATATCTCAGTGAAAAGGGCAATTTGAAGAGGGTAAAGAACGGTCTCAGAAACTAATGAGCTTTCTCATGAACTCCAATTATATCCACTGGCATTACACAAGTTAGAATGGCTTATAAAATCACTGCTTGCTTGTAGAGTTAGCATTAATCTCACAAGGTTTTCCACCAACAGCATCTCTTTCCCATGATGATTTGGTCTAGCCAGGGTCAAGTTGAGTCCACATCACTATAAACCAGTTCTGGCCACAGAGACCTTTAATTGCAATTACTTGATTAAGAAATTGCCCAGAGGCTCTGGAGCCTGGTCCTCTGCAGAGAAAGAATGGCTGAAGAGCCACACAAGCAAATGCAATCTCAAATCGTCCCTTTCAGGAGTTCTCTGCTGCAGCCACACTGCAGAGGAGCCCAGCACTTGCTGGGTGTGTGGCTCCACCTTCCCACCTCTCCTCTTGGAACTGCAACTCCTCCCCAAACTCATCCACTTTCAGCCTGCAGTGAAGTAGGTAAAATGACCAGACACTATGCAAATAGCTCAGCAGCTGCACCAACATTATACACATGTGGAGGAGTAAAAGGAATGAATTTGTTATAGATTTCTATTTTACTGAAACAGCTCAGAGTCAACTGCATATCCATCCACTCCTCAAGGAGAACAGTGGATCTATTCAAGATCCAGCCAGGCCTAATAAAAAGATTATTTGGGAACAGAATCGGCATCTCTTCCTGAACTTACCGATCCCATAGCCCTGTTCGCACTTGTATTCCACAAAATTCAGCTCTGAGGGTGGTGATGGACATTCCCCTTGCAGCTTCTCACACAACTTGAACTCCTCAGTCCACAGTCCTTCCTTCGTGCAGAGGATGGAAAGCTAGACGATCAAAAGTAAAGAATATTTCATTATTGCTTTGTTAACTGCATTTAGAGTGGGGAGAGGGGGTGTAATCAAATGATAGTGTTCTCCAACTTCTTAAACTTAGAATAAAAGATACTCTTGAAATAATAAGTCATGTTGTTACTGACCAAAAAATGTCATGACAATTTTTTTAATGTTTTCATGTGAAGGAACCATGAAGAATTTTGTCATTAATGAAATTTATTTATGATGTGTTTTCCTTTGGCTATAAACATAGGATGAGCTATCCACTATAGCCTATGTATTCTGAGATATTTTTGGAAATTTTTTTCCCCTGGTGCTATTTTTCTTTGATTCATCCATACTGTCACACAAATATTGTTTGTGGCAAATGTCAGACTTTTTTCAAGATGAAGTTGACCTAGTGAAACTAATTCACAAAATTTTGAAGGTACTTTTTCCCTTTCTGCTTGAATGGATACAACAGAGTTACTTTGGATCTCATCAAATTTCTGTTGCCTTTCTCCACATGTGTGCTGGTTTGTGTGACTCTTGGCTTCACACCTCCAGCAACACAAAGTATCCTAAATGCAAAGAACATACAGAGTAGCACTAATTCATGAAACCCAAGAAAGTGAGTTTTTGGAATTACAGATAACTGTCCCTTCATCTGGCAAATTTCGTGAGTCCTTAAACAGTCAGTGCAAACAGATGTGTCTGATTTCTTGTCATATCCATAGCATATTCTTTTCACACCTGTCCTGCAGTGCTTATCTTAGAGTGCTGGACACTGAGATACAGACATGTGCCAGGAGAGCAGTCAAGGTCACTGATCTTTGCCTAGAGAGCCCGCTTAACTTCCTGTCTCATGTATCGTGTGGTACTTGTAAAGATTCCAAAATAAAATTGATCTTATCATATAACCATGATAAGACTATAGTTTTCTCGTGGGACCTCTTCTGCCAAAATCCCAGAGAGAATAAAAGTCAAGCAGCACTTTCAGCTTTGCCTTTATTAAGGAATTCATGTGTCTGTTCAGGACTCTGTTCCATTGAAGAATGTAATATTGGTATTCCTAGGTCAGTGGCCACACATGGGAGGAAATCACATTGCTGAATCAGAACCCCAGCCTTTTTTTGGAATTTACCAACGTATCCAAACGCCCTTTGTGTTGGGATTCACTTATATCATTTCTACTCAACATTCTTGGATTGGTCATCAAGATTAGGGTACAGCCTGGCCCAAAACAAAGTTCAAGTCATCCTTACCCTTTCATTTTCCTGGTTACAGTTGAGCACACATTGGCTGTCGAGCTCAAAGCCATTGGTACATTCGTACATGCCTTCAAACACAGGAGAGGGGGGCTCACACACCACTGGGATGCAGCTGCCTTGCTCCCAGGTTCCATCCTCCAGGCACTGTATCTTCAGGAACTTTCTGATAAGACATAAAACATAATAGTCCATCAGACTGACTCACAAAGGTCATGGAAACACTGGATCCTTAGTAATATATGATAAGAATTCGCAAATAGGCAGGGGCAGTTGGATTTGGTTAGCCAAATGCCCTATCTCTCCAATCTAATGTCTAAGACATGGAAGGAAAAATAGCAATGTACACTTAATAGTGATAGTAGTAGCTTGTGTATAGTAACCTTTGATATAGAGTTCTCAAAAGAGATTGGTAAATATCAGTGCAGGGTCTAGATTATTTACAGTTGGGTTTTCTCTAAGCCTTTCATCTTGGAGCAGTCTCACACCTAAGTGCACTGGTAGGGTGGAATACAGACATGGTTATCACACACTTAGGGGACCACCCAGTAGGGATCAGAGGGTCATCAGTGTTACTATGGTGATATAATTTAAGTTGCCAATATTTACTGGTTCTCCAGAGAGGGGAGAAGATGCAGTTTTATGAATCTTCTTTTAAAACAGAGACTCTCACCCTGAACTTCAGAAGGGCAAAAGCCTTGCTGGAGATTTCCATGGTCATTTTGTTTGTTTATAGTTGATATTTTTCCTTGGAAAGCATTCGTGGCTTTCATCAAATTCTCAAAGTAGACATGACTCAACACTGTCCTGAAAGACTCGCCCTCCCTTCTCATGCAGAGACATGACCTCCAACCAAAGAGACTGCTTTGGAGGTGGATGGTAACCAACCAATGAGGACTTGCTACTGAGAATTCCATCCCCTTCCTCTTCTGACTCTCTGCCAATTTGAAGGTTCTTTCCATTTTGCAGTTTCAATGAATTTGCTTCTGATTCAAAACATTCCTAGGTACAGATAAGCTTGTGATTCTAAAATAGAAATAATCCTTTGGCCACTGACTCAATCACATGGTGACCTTAAATTCCTATTTCCCAGTATCCTAATGTCCTCTGTAAATTTAAACATGCCCATCATCCACGCACTTCTAATTGGTTACTGTACTACTGTACAATCCCTCCTGTGTATTTCCCCAGTGTTCAAACTTTACAATAGTGTAACTTTATCACATTGCTTCATAAATGTGAACATTTGTCTTTCTCAGTAGGTCATAAGCTTCCTGAAGACAAGGAATCTTATTCTTGTTTTTGTTTTTTGTCATTCATGGGAACTAAATAATATCTGGCTTATATTAGGCATTAATTAAATATTTGCCAAATTGAATCATTTAACCCAAATTCCCAGTGTGTTAGGCTCATTGTAGAGCATGTTACATAGTTTAACCAACTGAATAATGAGAATACTCCTAATGAAATAGTTTTGTTATTCTCATGTTATAAAGAAACACGCTCAGAGATGTTAAGTAATTTGCCCAAGGTCCTATAGCACAGCATGCATCTGATTTAAAATAATTTAAATAAAATTTAATATTTTAATATCCACTTAGAAATAAGTGAAGGGCTTCATTTATTATTCAATAGTCATACCTTTATTCCCAAGAATATTTTATAATAGAAATCTGATTTTATGACTAGAATTCTTTAGCACTGTAGCTTATGTGGCCATATACCTACTATATGTTAATAAATACCATTTTGGAGCTATATTTCACCTATATATATTATTTCACTTGCCAGATACCTACATATATTATTTCACTGAATCTCCCAAACAGCAGTTAATGGTAAATATTATCTATATTTCAGAGAAGAAAACTGTGCCTGAGAGAACATTAAAGCTAGAGATCCACAGGAAAGAATACAGACAGTACTTGGACCTAGGTCAACCTGCTGCCAGAGCCAGTGGTCCTTCCACTGTGTCAGGCTTAATTGCCATTTTATGCTTTACAGTCCACTTTGAATATTAATAGCATCTCTCTCCTATGGAGTATCCCAGATGTCCTTTATCTTGATGCTTTATTTATTGGTGTGGCAAAAACAGAAGATTCATTTAAAACTTTTAAATTGAGTAATAAATTACATAGACAACATTAGGCAAATCTTAGTAGACAGCTCAAGGAATTTTACATGTGCACACAGCTGGGGAACCATGGTGACCATCACTCAGATCAAGATACCAAGCATTTCCAGTCCCCCGATGCTCCTGTGGTGTTCCTTCCCAGTTAAACCTCCCCACTCGCCTGCAACCTGCACTATTCTTTCATCAGCATAGATTAGTTTGGCCTGATCTTGAATTTTAGATCAATGAAATCACACACAATGTATTCTCTGGTATATGACTTCTTTCCCTAATGGAAGGCGTCATCTTAAAATCTCTTCCCCAAAGCACTTTCAACGAAGGGTTTGCCGTTGTTTTTACCTCAGAAAGCTCCTTTTTGTCTCTCTCCTGGACTGGATACTTCACTCTTCTTCCCACTACAGAGAGTATATCCTCCCAGGGACTCTCTCCTTTCCACCACCTCCCACAGTTGAAATCCTTCCCCTACCTCTGCTGAACCGACATCCCCCAGCTGGAGAGAGAGAGTGAAGCTGTGAAACCTTGCATGTCAGCATGGTTAGAAAGGGAAACCCTCACTTGGCCAGGACAATACTATTTTGACTTCATGTGGTATTTTTCTCTGAATTGGCTGGAACACTTCAACCAGGAAAACAGTCCTCCCTTTCCTTGCCCAGAGTGAGGAGCCATTCAACAAGGTCGATTTCGTATAGTCACTTGCCAGCTTAATAACCTCAGGGGCGAGGGGAGACAGATCAAACTTGGATGGTGCAGAGCAAGGTGGGTGCAGTGGATGGTGCCTGGACATTGTGACAGGTCCTGTGCTATAAACCATCAGAGGAAGGGAAATGCTGGAAGGTAGAAAGGGAGGCAGCATATTTCACAGTGTCCCTGGACCCCATAGGAAGCACCATAGGCAGGAGTGACACAGATGGGAGAGAGTCCTGACTCCCTAGGAAATCCAGTTTCCTTTCTACAAGTGAAACAAGAATCCGTGATCCCCACGGATTCTCCTCGCAATTTCTTCTCCCTTGTACAGGGATGGTCTCCTATGGCCACCTCTCCATAAGCCTGTCACAGCTTCTGCATGTCATGTCTCTCCTCAGACTTCTCACAAAGCATCCATTCCTCAGGCCCAACAGCCCATGTCGACACCTGTCAATCCTGTTTATGGCATTTATCCTGAGATCCTGTGGTACTTGAATGCCATGATCTGGTTCTGGCCATGTTGCCTGTAATTGTGGCAGGAACTCTGGCATTTGAACTCAGGAACTCAGAGTGTCTGAGGGTCCTCCAACCTCTAGGAAATGTGGTTTCTACACAGGGCCCTTGAAGAGGATTGACGCCTATACCAATGGCAGGACTCTGACCTCCAGTGGAGCCACGGCTGCCTCTTCTAGTTTGCTGATGTTGAGGAGTGACCACTAGCTTTTTTTTATTTTATTTTGCTAATCCTTACCCAAGGATTTTTTTCTTTGATTTTTAAAAATTCTTTATTGATTAAAGTATTACATATGTCTCCTGAGGTTAACGCCGGAGTTTGCTGCCTCGAACAACCACTTCAAAAATACAACTAAAAGACGGAACGGACATCATCCAGAACCACAGGAAGGCTGGCTGAATGGAAGTTCTACAACTAGGAGGAACCGAGAATCAGAGGAGGCGCAGTGCTGAAGTAAAATACTAAGGTGCGGAGTGCGCGCAGCACGGGATGGTGGCTGAGGGCGCGGTTGTCTGTTTCAATCCAGAGGGAGCCTCAGACTCTGAGCTCCAGATCCGGGCGAGTCTCTAGGAACCCAGACTCAAACGGGAGAAGCAGGACTGTCTGGCTATGGTCCCTCCGAGGTTTGCAGTGGTTGCTGGGACAGAGAGGCAGAGCCCCTGGGGATGGACTGAGAGCAGCCATAACTGCTCCCTCCTCCGCCCTGTTGATCCCGTGGGACCCGCCCCGCCCAAGCCCTGCACAGAGGCATTTGCCGGATAGCCTCAGGCAAAGGCTAGATTAGCACCTCCCTAGAGGACACAAGTTCTTTCACTGCAGACACAGCTGATTATCACAGCCAGTTGGCCTGGAGGTCAAATCCCTCTAGTATTAACTACAACAATCAAGGCTTAACTACAACAAGACTGCGCACAAAGACCACTAGGGGGTGTACCAAGAAAGCGTAAAAAATGCGGAGACAAAGAAACAGGACAAAACTATCAAGGGAGGATATTGAGTTCAGAACCACACTTTTGAGGTCTCTCAAGAGGCTTCTAGAGTCTGTCGATAAACTTGATGAGATGTACAGGAAATCTAATGAGACCCTCGATGGTGTGATAAAGGACCATCTAGAAAGTAAGCATACACTGACTGAAATAAAGAATATTATACAGACTCCCAGCAGCAGACCAGAGGAGCGCAAGAATCAAGTCAAAGATTTGAAATGCGAAGAAGCAAGAAACACCCAACCGGAAAAGCAAAATGAAAAAAGAACCCAAAAATACGAAGATAGTGTAAGGAGCCTCTGGGACAGCTTCAAACGTACCAACATCAGAATTATAGGGGTACCAGAAGATAAGAGAGAGCAAGATATTGAAAACCTATTTGAAGAAATAATGACAGAAAACTTCCCCCACCTGGTGAAAGAAATAGACTTACAGGTCCAGGAAGCGCAGAGAACCCCAAACAAAAGGAATCCAAAGAGGACCACACCAAGACACATCATAATTAAAATGCCAAGAGCAAAAGACAAAGAGAGAATCTTAAAAGCAGCAAGAGAAAGAAACTCAGTTACCTACAAGGGAATACCCATACGACTGTCAGCTGATTTCTCAACAGAAACTTTGCAGGCCAGAAGGGAGTGGCAAGAAATATTCAAAGTGATGAATAGCAAGAACCTACAACCAAGATTACTTTATCCAGCAAAGCTATCATTCAGAATTGAAGGTCAGATAAAGAGCTTCACAGATAAGGAAAAGCTAAAGGAGTTCATCACCACCAAACCAGTATTATATGAAATGCTGAAAGGTATCCTTTAAGAAGAGGAAGAAGAAGAAAAAGGTAAAGATACAAA